TTAAAGTAACAGTAAAGTAGCCCAAAGTAAGGTAAAGTAGCTAAAATTACCTTTGAAGTAGCTGAAAGTAACTTCAAGTAACTCTAAGTAACTTCAAGTCCAAAAGTACGCTTTTTCCCCCTAGAGGGACACACTGACCGATTCTAGAGTGTACTTACTTTTTGAGTACACAAAAACCCAAATTTTTAATCTTATTTTTCATCTATATATGTAGTTTGTCCGATGTCAATAAATTGATAAACAGGAACCTAATAAATCGTCATGATTAAAATTGCTACTCGTTTTTTTTATTATGAAGTATTAGAATAAACTACTCATTGAATTAGAAGTAATAAATTGAAATGGATGAATTCAGAATTACAGAATCAACTGGTAGATGATATTGATCGGTTTGATTACAACAGATGACCTTTCTTTATGATATTTGATTGATTAATATCAATTTTCAATGTGAAAAATAGCAATGTAATTTGTTAAAATAATTTTCAAATAAATTTCTACGCAATTTTATTAAAAATTTATGGATACTTATCAATAGATTTCTTTAAGAGAATAGCATACATTCTTGAGATAGACATTGATTAATTACAGCAAGTAGTGCGACGTCAGACTGATGCTGAATAGTTAAAAATGAAATACGTGACGTTCGTCCGTCCGTTTAAGTATGTGATAGACATGAAGACAGAACAAGACAAAGAAGTAAATCATAATTTAATGTAAAAAAGACCCCATCACGAATATTCGGTATCTCTAAATGATTGTTTCAATGTTAGATATATATGAATGCTTTGTCGGATTTGTATGAATCAGTAAGAGCAAAAAAGAAATTATTCTGGAGGTAAGTAACCGGAGGCAGCTATACAAGGATAAATGACGTAGCTTTTCTCACCTTTTTTATGCAAAAGAGACTATATTTTCGTTATTGTATCACTTATTTCAATTCAGTCATCTCATTGACCAATCTTGAACGCAATGAGACACAAAAAATAGTATCTAAATCTAAAGATAATTTATATTTTGTTCAATGAAAGAGATTTTTTATCATATCTTCATAGAATCTCAAAATCTTACTCTGTATTGCTTTTGTACTATGAACTCGATATTATAATTACTAGTGAGTATATAAAAGTCTGGTCGTGTGACTGGTAATACGACTCGCAGTATAGCAGGATACGATTTTACTTCTAACATCAACTAAAAAGAAGAATTTCCCAAACGTTAGCTTCCGGTTGAGAAAACTAACGAAAATAAATTTTCCATAACGTGTTTCGAAAACAATATAGTACTGTTAAACGTAGAAAGCCTTGCACACCAAAACGATATATATTTCTTCTGGTGGATTTTTTCTCATTTTATTACTAATATACTGAATGAAAGCATAGCTTGTACGGAATACATGTTAAAAAACTCTCACGCGGCGTTAATCGGCAGTTTATCTTTTCTGGAAGAGGCAAAAAATACAAAGAGATCTAGACACAGTAGCTCTCAAGGAAAAAAAAATAAAGTTGAGTGAGATATTAATCCTTAGTCTTCATAGTGTTGATCTAGGCTGAAAAAAAATGTAGAAGTATGTCATAAAAATTGTTTGAAAATTTTACACTATGAAGACGATTTCTTTTTGTTATGGCACTGTTTTTTTTCGTCTTTGCCTTCTAACATGCCTCATAATATGCTTATCACTCATTATCTAAAGTTTTTCTTTCTACATTTTTTAAAATAAAATGCAGCTAAAGATTTGATTAATTCTGATTAGGCACAAATCGAGATTTCATTTTAGAACATGAAATGCAATAAAAATCATTATAGAACAAGCAAATTTTCTGGATTTCGCACATTCTGATAAAATTTGTGATATTTTTTTCTGAGATGTCGCATCGATATGAGAACCACTACAATCTCAAATACTTTTTCGAGAGAATAAATTAACTAAATATTTATAAGTGAAAAAAAAGTTAAATATCATGAAATTGATCCTATAGATTTAATACAGACAACAGCGATAGCTGGCAAAATGAAATTTTCATAGAAAATAAACGTTCCATATCATTTTTCATTCGAAAGTGAAAACTCAAATATTACACGACTCATTTCGCAGATATAAACGACAAGTAGATCCATGAAAAAGTCGGTCTGACTAGAAAAAGAGATCACTTGTCTTTTTTTATTCGAAAAAAAATAATAAAAAAATATCATATTCTTGTTTTGATGAATTTATCTAGACGACATGTTACCTCTAACAATGAAATTGTTAGTTATGTTAGCCGAATTGATTAACTTTATTCGGGTCAAATTATAGTCATCAAAGAGAAACTACCGAACTAAAAATATGAGTTGCTGATGGTGAGTCTGAATCAAGTTATTCAAATTTTAAAGTAGTAACTATATCTGAAATACTCCTAACTGAATATTTCAAAAAGAAGTTTCGCTTTTGATCATAGTTAAATAAAGCTGATCGAGTTACATAAGAAAACGTATGTGTAAAATTGAAAATCATATTACGTCACAAATTGTAAGATATGATTATTTTCATATGTAAACAGAAATAGACCTGTAATTGAAACATTCAGATATTTGTTGTTGTTGCTCAAAACATTTTTTTTCTATTGAAATATCATTTTCTGTACGCAATTGGGTCAGCTTTATCCAACCGTAATCAAAAAATAAACTGTTGAAATGTTCAGTTACGCGTATCTTACATATCGTTAATACTTTTAAATTTTGAATATAACTTGATTCAGACTCATCATGAACAACTAATATTTTTTTTTAATATTTTCTCGTTGATGACTATGATGTGACCTGAATAATGTTAATCAATTCAATCGATACGATCAACAATTCTATTGTAAGATTTTTTTACAGATAGTCGTCGTATTTTTTTTATATATTACAAGAATCTAAACTAAATATTACATAGTCAATTTACAAGACATACTAAAATGAACATTTAGAACATGAAAATCTTGTGAGAAGAACGACTAATTTTATTTTTCGAGTGAGAAGGTAACAAAACACATGCCATTTGATTTTATGTTGACAAAAGAACTAGAACGAACATCATATTGTTCATTTGATGCATTATCGACATGTATATCTATGAGTTATAGTAGTTTTCTCAATGAAAAAGTCATATCATTTTACGATGGGGTTTCGAGAGAAATAAAATGACTATTATAGATTGCATTTCACCTTTTTAGTAAAATGAATATGTTCCAACACGTGAATTTTTTCTTGGTTGAATGTATATATCATTTGAGTTGTCTCTTAGAATAGAAAAGAAATTAACATCATAGTGTCGTTCGATTTCAAATTTGAAAATCAATCGACGGAATATTATATGATTGATTTATCACATTGAGTAAAAATAATCATCTTTACATTAGAAATTTTTTTTTAACAAATAGGCCATCTAATTTTACATTCTGAAAAGTAGACTAAGTTGAATATGAGATAGAATTTCAAGTTGAATATAATTTATTGCTTTTACATTTTTTGATCTCTTACATTTAATTATTAAAAAATGATCTATTGTCTCAATACAGATATATCTTTTCTATCAGTAAGTGCTAAACTATTTTATTGTTTCTGAAAATATTCAAGTTGAACATTCAGTAGTTCGTGTAGTATCTTTTCGGATACTATTGATCGTTTAATAGAACCAAGTTGTTCTGTGTTTCTATATTCGTTCGAGTTACTATAATTAGAATCGCAAAATCGGAACTTGATATGTTTCGAGTCTGTGGTTATCGACTATCAAAGATCAGTTGTAACGAGCATAAATACAAACATGTGCACATAAACAAACTTGATGTCGTAAAAACTCAGAATTGATACATTCATGAATAGAATGACGTTTGAATATTCAATGCGACAAATTTCTAATTTGGATTGTCTTATATTTTGATATATTATGTAATGTGTGACAGTAGTATGATCGTTCAATGTAGTATATTGATTGAAATAATGATTATTTGACAGAGATATATATGTAGTTTTGTATTATTTCTTTTCTCCTATAGTAAAGATCAATATTCTCATGCAAAATTGTCATCTAATTATTAGATTTGATTTGAAATAAACTTAAGAGACAAAGAAAAACATTGGTTTTTGCATTTTTCTGACTATATTGTGTTATTAAACACATCTGTACATTTTTTATTTATATGTTGATAGAGTGGAATCTTATAACTCTGATGTTTTAATGAGAAAAAGTTCAAAACTTAATAAATTTCATTGAATTGGTATTCTTTTTGGATGTTTTGAAAAAGGAAATTTTGTAGAACTATAATCGCAAGCAAAATAAAGTTTGCCTACCTCGATTTTTGACACGATTTGATAGATATTTGTATGTCTGTTCTATTGTATGAGACATGTATTAATGCACCGAATGGGCAAATTTATAGAGGAAATTAGTGATTATTTAAGTGAAAAAGATTGAAAGTCGTAACATTACATAGTTGATTTCATTATTTTCGATCCGACATATATCTGAAAAGGCTTTTTTGTCATAGTTTGCGTAAAATACAGAATAAAGGGAAGAAAGTGATGACTTTCTAACGTTGAAAAAAATTACATTTGTCCTTAAATAAAGATGTAAATAAAATCGTTTTCGTCAATGAGTAAAGAGGATCAGAGCGTTTTTTCTTGGAAATATAAAACTAAATATAATAATAATTTTTTCAAACTATTGAAGAGACAAACAAATATTATTTGAAAAAAGCAAGAACGATTCTAGTCTAGATTCCTGAGTATAAATTTCACCCAAATACTATACCGATGTTGAACTTAAATTATTTTTTTGGCAATTCGTCTTGTAAAAGAATAACTTTTAGTAGACTAAATATATTCAATTGAATCATCCTATCAAACTGATTTTTTCATTAATTTGTTTTATATTGTAGATTATAGTACAATAATATTAAAGCAAACTAAAGATGAACACACGATGTGTATTCTGCTCGATACAGTGTACGGATAATTATTGTTTGAAATGCAATCAAATGGATCGTGGTGAAAAATTTGCAATGTTGCTTCAGCATTTGGAAAAATGTTCTGAAAGCATTGTTTACTACGATGAAATTGCCTCTATCGTACAACAAATTCGACAAGTAAGTTTGTCAAAATTATAATTGAATTATAAACAAAGTGTTGTAGATGGAATCAATTATGGCACCAATTCATTTTCATCCAAATCAAGTTTTCGATGAAACCAAACACGTTATAGATGTCATTGCTAAAAAATATCTTGAAAAGGCGACTGATAATGTACATCACCTTGTTCCGATCAAAGTAGCAGCCGATGGAAATTGTTTATACAATTCAATTCTTCTTGTGATGAACAATCTAATGGTGACGGCGGATGAATTGCGTGGTAAATAGATTTATCTTTCATTTATATCGTTGTACAATCTATTTTGACATATTTTTTAGTTCGGACAATTATCGAACTTATGATAAATGAAGCTTATTATGAAAATATATTCTCACAATTTATTGGATCTGTCACGTTTGTTATCAAAGCCATATGCAAAAATAATACATTTTCTGAACTGTACGAAATTAGTGCATTATGCAATGTACTTCGATGTAATATACGAAGTATTTATCCAAAAATTGATTTTCGAGAAGATATGGCAATTCTAAACAATGTCTTTACACCCCGTCCATCTATCATTGCTAACTGTGACATCACAATTTTGTGGTCTCATGTCTGGAATGAGTTAGATGCACGAGCTACGAATAATAATGTGTGGAGTCCCAATCATTTTGTTCCTCTTATGCAGTCATTTGTATATGATGAATCTGATCATAGCAATATGTCAACATCAATTGCTGTGGTAGGTGATATATTTGCAAACATGAATTTGAGAAACTTTCAAATTTTTTTAGACTCCTGAAAAGAAAACGTTTAAGAACAATACTTCAACTCGAATACGAAGTCCTGAATTTGAATTGTCTCCTAGTAGACATTTACGTACCGAAAATAACATGGGAACGAACTTTGCTCAATCAATTATTTCAAATGCACTACAACAACATAAAAGTGGCATAGAAAACCAACGTCAAGTTCGACTCGATATACTAAAAGAACGAGCTCTAACCAGCCGAATGAACGAAACAACCGAACACCGACAAATAAGACTTGAAAAGCAAAAAGAGCGAGATGATCTAAAGCAGATGACTGAGACAGAAGAAGAACGACAAATTCGGCTTGAAAAGAAGAAAGAAAATGCTCGATCTCATCGTAGAAATGAGACTGAAGAACAACATCAAATCCGACTTGAGAAGCAAAAAATACGAGATCAATCGAGTCGATCAAATAATATAGACGAACAACGTCAGATTCGACTTGAGAAGCAAAGAAAACGAAGCCAAGCGAATAGAGCTAAAAAGAAACTTGAAAAGCTCGCGTCTGGTAACATTGATGTTCAACAACAAGATATCGAGATGCAATTTACTAAAACAGAAGAATACGCATCGTGTGATGGCAAGAGCATAAGTGGTTTTACACAAAATTCAAATGTTAAAAAGAAAAACTCATCTTGTTCAC